TACAGTGGCCAAGTTTGACAACTTGGATGTCGCAGCTGACATCCAGTTGTTCAAACTGGCTAGAGACTGAGCAAGCTGGTGGGCAGTGAACCGGTGAGTCTTCGATGAAGGGACATCCGGGTCCGCGGCAGTAGATGGACCAGCAATAGTAGAAGGACCGTGAGGCAATGTCTCACTGGTAGCAGGGATGGTGGTAGGCTCGGTGGACTGCTCAATAACCGCTGGCTCCTCAGACTGGCCAGGTGCGGTGGAAGTGGATGCCTGAGGCTTTTTGGACCTCTTTGGGTTGTCGGGACCCAACTGACTGTACCATGAGTAGGGGGCCACCGGATCTACCTGGACATCAAACCTCTTCTTCTTCACCTTCAATTCTCTAAAGTACAGGGAAAGAGTGCTCGGGAAGGGGTAGTTTGTGTTGATCTCCTGCCCGACCGTAGAAATCACCCTTGACATGATGTTGCCCACATTCAGAGGAAAACCAGCCATAATAGATGCCACTAACACTGCACGGGGAATAGGAATTTTGTGATCATGAGTGGAGGGATCAAGCCTACTACACACGAAGGTCAACCAACCCTTTGCTCCAAAACTGAACGTGTTTCTCAGAATCTTCTCCCCTGCTTTCAACCAAACTGGGACAATGTTCGGGGCTGCCAAGTGCTGGGCCAACCACTAGCGAACCTCTTCTTTCATTGCCAGTTTTTCTAAGCATTGGGTTTCGTCCTCTTCGTTGAACCCCAAAAACTCATTCAGAGACTTCCCATCAAACATCACCACTTTTTCCCTCACTTGTGTCGCCTTTGAGTCTTTCACTACATGATAAACATTGCAGTAAAATTCTTTCACCATATGTTCATTTGCGACTATGCAACGTTCCTTGAAGAAACCCCAACCCTCTCTAGTACGGAATTGTGCTTGCACATGTGGGTTTAGAGGAAGAAGATCAGAGTCAATAAATTGCCTCTCCGGAATCAATTTTCTTTTGGGCCACCACTCTCGAAATCTGTGGAAGGCTATTTCACTTACAAATCTATCAGCCCATGCTTCCGGTTTTCTTGTTCTATCAACACCACCAACTTGGGGCTCACCCCCCTCACCATATCCTGCACTCTCCCCAGATAATGAAGTTGTGGGGGAGGTGGAGTATTGTGCCTCACTTCTTGCTACGGACTCATCAGACGAATCCGAAATTACATTGACCGGTCTCTTGGAGGTAGGTGAAGGTAGAGGTGTGTCATGTAGTTGGAATGGGTCAGAGGTGTGAGTGGGGGATGATTCTGAGGTGATGCTCCGGGAGGGTGCATACTCACTCCCCGAAGAGTGGGAGGCAGCCCTATCAGCAGCCCGTATCAGCTTACGGGTCTTTTTAATGTTCTCCCGGGCCTGGGGAGTGAGTTTAGCAACCCGCTTTCCCTTTCCACCTCGGGAGGAACCACCCCTCCCGAGTTGTTGTTCTTTTCCTCCTCGTTGCTTAACCATGATCTGCAAAGAAAAGTCTAACATTGTTAGTTGAAGCATATGCAGTGAATTGGATGCTACAGTTGAATGCATGGTTTAGAAACAGGGTTGCAGAATAGAAGGGGCGCGGACCGCGCAAAAGTGCCACGCGGACGCGCTGGGGTAGCGCGGACCGCGTAAAACTGGAGCGCGGACCGCGCTTAAGATGTTCCAGTGAACCCCTCTCTGAATCTTACCAACGCGGTCCGCACTGATTTGGACCGCGGCCGCGCTAGGCTGGCGCGGACCGCGCAGAAAGGACGCGCGGCCGCGTAGGGCAGACAATTAACTCAGTATGGGGATTTTCATTTAAGTCCAATTTTTTGTTCAAATTATGGGTCCTAATTGTCCCTACTCAGTTACTAATCAAGAATTCATGCCCATTGTTTCACATAAACACACAAAATCTACCTTAACAGGTAAAACTAAGAGAGAAAGAAGAAAATAAGAAGTTATACTAATAGGAAGCAAATAATAAAATCAAAAATTAAACTATGAATGAGATTAGTGAGGAATGTTACCAGGTGTTGTGAAAGTTTTAACTACTTGAAGCAAGTTCTTTTGATGCACAGTGAAAATTGAGAGCTCAGGTAGAAAATTGGCGAAAAGGTTAAAATGAAGCCTAGGGTCTCTATTTATAGAAAACACTGTGGGACCCATTACTTACCCACCAGCGCGGCCGCGCAGAAATGGCCGCGGACCGCGCTGGATTTCCAGCATCCTTAATTGCCTGAACAGCCCACGCGGACCGCGCTGTTTTGTCACGCGGCCGTGTGGGAAACTTCAGAGAGCATGTAATTTGGGCTTCTCCTGCGCGGACCGCACAAAAATGTCACACGGACCGCACAAAAATGTCACACGGACCGCGTAGCTGGCTTCAGAGACTCAGCTCCCATTTCACCAGCCTACGCGGACCGCACTGTTTTGGTGCGTGGCCGCGTAGGCAAACTTCAGAGACCTTAAAATTTTTGCTACTTTTGTCCTGCACTGGTCCAACATCAACCCTGCAACATCTCACAAACCATGAGTTGAAAAATCCTAATCTACAACGGAAAAATAAAAAGAAAGAAAAAGACATGGGTTGCCTCCCAAGAAGCGCCTGATTTAACGTGTCGGCACGACGCATTTAACCATAATATCACTTCAAATGAAGGAGTGCCACCACGTGGCTGTCATCAATCTTCCCCAAGTAATGCTTCACACGATGCCCATTGACCCGGAATACCTCACCATTTTTGTTTTTGAGATCAAGAGCACCAAAGGGAGTCACAAATACCACTTCAAAAGGGCCACTCCACTTAGATTTGAGTTTGCCCGGAAATAACCTCAACCGAGGAGTTGAAAAGAAGAACCATATCACCGACCTTGAATTCCTTTCCCCGAGCATATTTGTCGTGAAGGTACTTCATCTTGTCCTTGTACAAAGACGAGCTGGAGTAGGCATGAAATCTAAACTCATCAAGCTCATTCAATTGCTCCACTCGGAGATTGGCTGCAACATCCCATTCCAAGTTCAACTTCCTCAATGCCCACATAGCCTTGTGCTCAAGTTCCACCGGAAGATGGCAAGCTTTACCAAACACCAACCGATATAGAGACATACCAATTGGAGTCTTGTAAGCCGTCCGATAAGCCCAAAGAGCATCATCCAATTTCTTCGACCAATCGGTCCTATTAGCATTCACCGTTTTGGACAAAATACTCTTTATCTCCCGATTTGAGACTTCCACTTGTCCACTAGCTTGTGGATGATAGGGGGTGGTCACTTTGTGATTAACTCCATACTTAGCAAGCAATGAGTCGAAAGCCTTGTTGCAAAAATGGGACCCCCCATCACTAATAATGGCCCGAGGAGTACCAAATCTCGTAAAGATACTCTTTTTCAAAAATGCTACAACACTTCGGGCTTCATTGTTGGGTAGAGCCACGACTTTCACCCATTTTGAAACATAGTCCACTGCCACGAGAATGTAAGTATTACCACAGGAGCTCACGAACGGACCCATGAAATCGATGCCCCAAACATAAAAAATATCCACCTCAAGAATTGTATTGAGGGGCATCTCATCCTTCTTGGAAATACCGCCGGCTCTTTGACATGCATCACATCTCTTCAGCAATTCACTAGCATCCTTGAACAACGTGGGCCAATAGAAGCCACAACTCAAAACTTTTGAGGCTGTCCTCACCCCCCCGTGATGGCCACCATAGGGAGAAGAGTGACAAGCCTCCAATATGCTTATTTGTTCACTTTCCGGTACACATCTCCTTATCACTCCATCCGTGCAAATTCTAAACAAATACGGATCATCCCAATAGAAATCCAAACTATCCCGCTTGAGTTTCTTCCTTTGGTTGGAAGAGAGCTCACACGGGACGTTACCAGTCACAATGAAGTTGGCGATGTCCGCGAACCATGGCATTTCACACATAGAAACGGAAAGAAGCTGCTCGTCAGGGAACCTATCATTAATCTCAATACCGTCACTTGGTCTCCCATCTTCCTCTAATCGGGACAAATGGTCTTATGCATGCAAAATGCGGGGCTTATTTTCCTGATGTCCGCCAAATTCTATCCTATTGCCCTTTTTCGCTTTTGAAGCACCTCCACAGTGGCCTCAACCTGCAAGTTAGTAAGGCAAGAAGAAAGAATAACTGGAAGAGTAGAATTAGAGCCCAAGAATTNAGCTTTCTATAATCCATGCACACCCTCCAACCCGTGACCGTCCGGGTAGGAATCAATTCATTGTTGGCATTAGTGACGACCGTCATACCCCCCTTCTTTGGCACACATTGGACCGGAGAGGTCCATGAACTATCCGAAATTGGGTAGACCACACCAGCGTCCAACCACTTGATAACCTCCTTTTTCACCACCTCTTGCATAGCTTCATTCAACCTTCGTTGGTGTTCAAGAGACGGCCTTGCATCCTCCTCCAATATGATCTTGTGCATGCAAAAAGCGGGGCTTATACCCCGAATATCCGCCAAGGTCCATCCAATCGCCCGCTTGCGCTTTTGTAGAACCGCCTAAGTGGCGTCAACCTGCAATTTAGTTAAGCAAGACAAAAGAATAACAGGCAAAGTGAAATTAGGACCCAAGTATTCATACCTGAGGTGAGGAGGAAGTGGTTTCAACTCCAACACCGGCGGCTCTTCAATAGATGGCTTGGTTGGGGGAGTTTTCCAATTCTCAAGGTCCAATGATAACTTCCTAGGCTCATAAGAGTACGAGCCCCTACCATGCAAAGCATTTACACATTCAATTCTCCCGGCATCATCATTAGCCTCCATGTTCAAAAGTACCACTTCAAGTGGATCTTCAACATTAATCATTGCGCTTGTGTCATCCACTATCACCTCCGTGACGATGTCAACAAACGAGCACACCTCGGTGCTATTTGGTTGCCTCATAGACTTGCACACATGGAACACCACCTTTTCATCACCAACCCGGAAAGTCAATTCACCCGCCTCAACATCGACCAAAGCCTTTCCCGTGGCTAAGAAAGGCCTTCCAAGGTGATTGGGACTTCAAAGTCCACCTCACAATCTAGTATCACAAAGTCGGCCGGCAAAATGAATTTATCAACCCGAACAAGGACATCATCGATTATTCCCAAAGGCCGCTTCATTGACCTATCCGCCATTTGGAGCCTCATCGAAGTCGGGCGAGGTTGTCCGATCCCCAAAGTCTTGAAAATCGAATATGGCATTAAGTTGATACTCGCCCCTAAATCACAAAGGGCTTTTGCAAAGTCGGCACTTCCAATGGTGCATGGGATAGTGAATGCGCCGGGGTCCTCAAGTTTTAGAGCCATGGAGTGTACAATTGCGCTCACTTGATGGGTCATCTTGATTGTCTCACATTCCATTGATCTCTTCTTTGTAACCAAATCCTTCATGAATTTTGCATACCCCGGCATTTGCTCGAGTGCCTCCACCAAAGGCACATTGATAGTCAAACTCTTCATCATCTCAATGAATTTCTTAAATTGGTTATCACCTTTTTGCTTGGCCAACCGTTGAGGATAAGGCAGAGGAGGCCTAGGCAAGGGTGCGTTGGCTTTGGGCACCGCCGGCTCGGGCATATCTATCACGTGTTCCCTAGACGGGTTCACGATCTCTTGTGTCTCCTCCTCAACCTCATGAATGTCAATCCGCACTTCATTTCTAACACTTGGTTCCACCACATCATCAACCCCCATAGGAATATCATCATCACGCAACTCATCTTCATCAACCATGACTTGATTCTCTCTTTAGGCATGCACATCATCGCCTCGTCCACTTCGCGTGGTCACCGCCATCACATGGTTGTTGTGTCCACCCTTAGGGTTTACTACCATGTCACTTGGTAGAGCACCCTTTGGGCGAGAGTTTAAAGATTGGGAAATTTGTCCTATTTGCACCTCTAGGTTCCGGATAGATGTGTTGTGAGAAGCCAATTGAGCATCGGAATCTTGGTTCTTTTTCATCATTTGCTCAAACATCATCTCTATTCGCCCCATATCACTTCCGGTAGAACTAGACCCTTGAGATTGAAACGGTGGCGGGTTGTTCGGTTGTTGAAACATCGGAGGCCTTTGAAAGCCTTGCCCCCGATTACCTTGACCACCATTGTTGTTCCACCCACCTTGACCATTGTTGTTGTTCCAATTGTTGTTGTTGTTCCCATTCCAATTTCCACCATTGTTTCCTTGATTCCCCCAATTGTTGTTTTGATTATTTCCGTTCCAATTTCCACCACTTTGTTGTTGATTGTTGTTATTCCAATTACCTTGGGATCGCCATTGTTGATTCCCTTGATTTCCTCTATTTCCTTGGTAGTTATTGACATATTGGCATTCCTCACTTTGATCATCATAGCACTCGTTTGAATAACCACCACCATCATCATAATTGTCACAATTTCCTTGAGGTTGTTGCCCTCTTTGCCTTCTTTTCATCATATTCACTCCTTCCATGGCATTGACTTGGCGCGGGTTTTGAACTTGTTGCAATTGCGCCTTCGCCAATTGATTTATTGTTGTTGTGAGTTCGGCAATGGCTTGGCCGTGATCATGCAACTCCTTATGCAAATGTATGACATTAGGATCACCTTGAGGAACGTTCGCCCAGCTTTGCCATGCCGAAGAAGTATCGGCCATCTCATCTAAGACATCACAAGCTTCATTGTAGGGAAGCTTCATAAAATTGCCTCCCGCCAATTGATTCACAATGCATTGGTTGGTTGTGTTAATGCCCCTATAAAATGTTTGTTGAATCATCACATCATTCATATCATTATTTGGACACTCTTTGACCATGGTTCTAAATCTCTCCCATATTTCGTGCAACGGTTCCGTCGGCTCTTGTTTGAAAGCCAAAATTTCATCATGGAGCGCCACCATGTGACTTGGAGAAAAGAATTTGGCAATGAATTTGTCCGCCAATTCGTCCCATGTTGTGATAGAATGATTCGGTAACCTTTCCAACAAATCTAGCGCTTTACCCCGAAGAGAGAATGGGAAAAGCCTCAATCTCAAAGCATCCTCTGACACATTGGTTTGTTTACTCCCCCAGCAATTATCTACGAACCCCTTCAAGTGCTTGTATGCATTTTGGTCGGAGGCGCCGTAAAATACCCTCTTTGCTCGAGAAGCGTCAACATAACATTGGTGATTTGAAAATTCCCCGCCCGGATTCGGGGAGGAACTATGGCACTTGCATAACCCTGGTTCGGAAGGACCCTTGGAGCTACTCTTGGTGGAGGCGGAGGAGGGCCTGGGATTTGATCATTTGGATTTGCATTAGCATTTCTACCTCTCCGTGGTACTTGTGGTACCTGGAGCTCATCTTGCTCAACATCATCAACCTCCTCCCCCGCGACCACGTTGTTAAGAGGGACATTTCCGTTTAGAGCCATGTGTACCTGATGGATCGACACAAATAACGTTAGTAAAAAGAAGGAAAGAGAAGCAAAACACAAAACTAGCTACGCAAATAGTCAACACCCCCGGCAACGGCGCCAAAAAGCGATCGCAGCGGACTCAACCTTAGGAAGAGTGGGCGCTAATACTTTTACCCAATAGTGGTATCGGGGTCAATTTCCACAGGGAGCTAGAAAGGGAGTTGGATATTTGCTTAGCCTAGAAATGCGTGTTTGCTTCTAATTGATCTTCTATCATTTTTGGGTTTTTAGGATTATCAACTACAATTTAACAACTACTAATTGATCTTCTATCATTCTTGGGTTTTTATGATTATTAATTCTAGGTTGTACGCAAGATAGAGAAAGACACTAGGATCGTGGCATTTACCTAGGTAGTCAACTAACGGGTAGAGATTCCTAATATAAGAATGATGATTATGGGGCTTATGCAATAACCGTTGCACGATTGCACTCACTCTCACACCTCTCGGTAGAAAGAGTGATTTTGCCCAATTGACTCTCTCGAGACCAATTGGGTAGGCCAACAAGCCCAAGCAACTTAGGGTTCAAGTTGGGTAATTACTCTCTCGAGGTTTAACCCGTTAATTGGGACTACCATTCTCATGGGTCCATCCCAATTCCTTGTTGGGTTAATTTTGGAGTCATAGACACTCTTTCTCAAGAAGAGTCAAGACCCACTAAGCTAGACTTAGTGTTTGCAACCACCAAATCCCAGTTAAATCATAAAATCAACCCAAAAGCAAACACCCAACATCATTCAAGCATTAAACAATCACACACATTAATTACCCACACTAGGGTTGAGCCATAACCCTAGCTAATGGGTTTAGCTAGACATAATAGCAACATAAATTGAAGAAGTAGTAGATAAAATCAACATATTAATTAACTAGGATGTTAATCTACAAGAATCCACGATAAACCAAGATGAAAATGCCCAAAATAGGCTAAAACTTGAGTCTCACGAGTGTTGCTGCTATCTCGGAGAGGTTTTTAATGAGGCAACAAAAGGGACGTCTCGATGTTCAAGTATAGTTCATCGCCTCGCCTGCCGACTACTTCTCCAGGCCGTACGATGAAGGGACTAGATACATGGAAACTTCTCCAATATATTTATGAAACGAAGAATGCTTGAATATTTTCCAATGAATGAAATAAAAGTAGCATTTTTTACTCTCCACCTACATATTCTCCAATGAATGAAATAAAGCAGCATTTTTTACTCTCCACCAAGATATTCTCCGATGAATGAAATAAAGCAGCATTTTTACTCTCCACCAAGTCTCTTTACACTCCACATTCGACCTCGCTCGAATCACTTTACATTCGACCTCGATCGAATTACTTTACATTCAACCTCGTTCGAATTATCACACATTCGACCTCGTTCGAATTGTTTTACATTCGACCTCGCTCGAATCATTTTACATTCGACCCCGCTCGAATTATCGCACATTCAACCTCGTTCGAATTGTTCTGTATTCGACCTCGCTCGAATCATTTTGCATTCGACATTGTTCGAATTATCACACATTCAACCTCGTTCGAATTATTTTACATTTGATCTCGCTCGAATCATTTTACATTCGACCTCGCTCGAATTATCACACATTCGACCTCGTTCGAATTACCTTGCATTCGACCTCGTTCGAATTACTTTACATTCGACCTCGTTCGAGCTACTTTAAGATCTACGATCCACTACGCCAAGACACTACACGCAAGCGACCGAAAAAGTCAGGGACTTCACCGCATAGCAAACCAAAATAAATAAATAACGACAATCCAGGAATACATAGCAAAAAGGTAATCATTCCTTTACAACTGTCATATTACAATACTTTTTACAAAGGGCCCAGAGACGCCCTCATAAAAATAGCAAGACAAAACAAAATAAGTACAACGGTTTTACGCCGCGTCATCCCCATCGGCGTACTCATCATTATACCAAGAATCGGAGGCGAGCCTGTCCGCATCGTCATCAACATCATCCCCGCCAGGCGTACCGGAGGCGTTACCACAAGCTTCGCGGGCCGCACATGCTTTAACACGGACACTCTTGAGTTCTGCCTCGAAAACTCTCCCGTCGCCCTTTAGGGACTTGTACATATCAAGCTGAGCCTCGGTATGAACCCACATCTCATACAACTCCCGCGGCATGACGGGGTCGACAGAAGTATGAGACATATATAGCTGCGACTGTCGTCGCACTTCCTCAGCCTTCAAAGCAACAACCTGCTCATTCAATCCGGACAACTCCGCCTCCAGATCCTGGATCTGCTCTTCTAACCTCGCTACCTTGAGCGCCGACGTCTCCGCCTCATTATCCCGCTCAAATCTACAAACACGGAGGGCGTCATCCAAGGCTGGTGCTTCAGACAGGGCGGCCATTCTACCTTTTTCGGCACGGCTCAATTCCTCAACCTTGACGCTCAACTCGCCCCTCAGAGCGACAGCCTCCGTTTCCCTCCGCCCAAGCTCAGCAGTTAAGGAAGCCACCCGCGCTTGAAGGTTGGCATTCTCGGCCATCACCCCCTTGCTCACTTCGAGCTCATCGTCCTTGGCCTTAAGAGCAGCCTCAAGCTCGCTGCATCGACCTATGGCTTTAATTAGCTCATCATCCCACTCCTTCAGCTCCTCAACTTTACTCACCAACTTCTCCTCTTTCTGTTTGAGCCCATCACGAAACAGTTGAAACTCGCTATCTTGGTTAAAGACGTCGGCCAGCGTTTGGTGCTTGGTACGGTACTCTTTGTACTTGGAGGTCACCTTCTTAAAATGGCCGTCCTCCGCTCCTCCCGCCAGTCACGCTCGATCCCCATGATAAGAGTCTGGCATGCGAAAGAAAGAATCATTATAAGCAGATTACGTAAGCGAGAAAAATCCTTCTTACTCATAAAGCCATGCCGGAAATACCTAGTGATAGCTCTGCGTCGCTCATCGTCTGCAGCGCCGTGTTCTCAAAAGTCGCGCACACGTTAGCAAAGCACGACACCGCCCGCTCAGAGTTGGCCAAAAGGTCATAACCCACGAAATTGATTATGTGCTGGTTAGGACCCTCTGTTCTCAATTCCACGGAAGTGTTCCTCTCCAAGAAGTCCCGTATCTCTTCGAGGTCGATGTCTGAATCAGAGCCGTCGTCCCCCGCAGGTACCG